TAATCTGATGGAAAAGTTGAGAATTGTTGTATTAAGTATGCCCTGAATTATTAACTACCCCAAGGTGAGATTCGATTTCTGGCCTGTTGAAAGTTGCAAACCTGTGTATACAAAGCAAGGAAAATGGGTGTTGTAAGTAAAGCTATGGGAAATGAACAGCATTTTTTGTTTGCTCATTAGGCCATTTTCAAAATTATTTCAGATTGTCTTGAACAAGCCTTAATCCAATTTGTCAAGATGAACAGGGATTGTTTTCAGTCAAACTGGATGCTTACTTGAATTCTAATGCTTTAAGCCTATTTCAGCTCCATTTACTGTGAATTTTCAATACAAACACAATTTCAAACATCAGAATGAAATTTATTAATATATTTTCTTTGTACTATTAGACTACAACTGCTGCTTAAATTGGGTAATGTCTTTGAGTGTCTTCCTGCACTCCTTGCCTCCACTGCCCAACTACATCTTTCTAGTGAATAAACCACTCTTAGGTACACCAACAGTCTACCTTTAATTTGCTGTTGTTTGTGTGCACACGGTTGTGTTGTGGTGACCTAATTGCTTCAGAGTGAGACAGTTCTCCAAACTGACAGTGACCGAATGAAATTAATCTTGTTGTAATTGTATCTCTGAATGTTCATGGCCACTACAACATGCTCTTACAATGTATAATGCTTCAAATGAAATTGCAATTAGTATTTTTACTGAAGTGGAACAAAGCTGTGGTTACAGAGGTCGAGCCTTTCTTATAGACTGGCCAATTGCTGCTTTTAAGACAGAGTTTAGGATTGACAGAGGTGAGCAGAATGGTGATTTTTATAGATTTGCTACTATCAGAAGTAATAGTCCTCAGTTTTCACACTAGTGCATGTGTTAGAAGCATGCAGTAGTTAAACCACTTTAAACAGCCTGTTAATTATACTTCATAGCTGACCCTGCAATTTCTAAATATAATAACAGGTTTTAAAAAGTTTAAAATTAAATGTGACATTGCAGTATAATTTAGCTAAAACATATTTGCTCTGTACTCTAATTTTATGTCAGTTTATTTCACAGCAGCTGTTTCCAGTCACATAGAATTTATCGGCAGAATTATTTCTCTGGTTGGGTTGGGGGAAGACAAAATAAATTAAGATATCCTTCTAAATATGAGCAAGTTTTAATGTGTTAGATTTATTTCACTTGTGCAGCTGTGGTTTTGTTTTGGTTAGCAGCAAAGACTTTATCAAGCATCTCTAACCTCCTCTCAAAGGTATTAATTTCACACTGAATGCCACTTGTCTCTGGCCTTCAAAAGTACATGCTAAATTTAAAGTGCCATTTATATATATAACACAGGGGCCAGGGGAATAACTGCTTGTAAATGGACAGTTTCACTCTTGGCTCTGTCATTTTAATTCCTTTTTTGTGGAATAATGTTCTACTTTTGCCGCAGTGATGCTGTGAAGGTTTTTTTCCTACCTGAGAAGCCTTAGAAATTTTAAGTTGTTAATGGCAGCCCAGGTGCCTGTTCTACCTGAACATAGACAAAAGAGACCTTCTGTCACTATCAGGAGACTGCAGGAATAATTGTCCATTTCAACTGGCTTAGCAGCCCTTTGTCTCTCCTACTTTTTCTTTTCTAGCATGGGATCAATTTTGTGGGTTTTGCTTCTTCATACGGAGGATCTGAAGTTTGCTGTAAGCTGTTGGGAAGTGTTTTTGTGACTCTTGTGTGGACACTTCTGAATTAAGTATATCTAGTGCATAGTTACTTGCAATTTCAAAGAAACTTGAGTAGTGAGACACTGACTCCCACTGGGGAGTTTGGTCTGCTGTCTCACCTTGAATCAAATTCAAGGTATGGCATGTTAGTGTTAAGAAATTTTCATGCTGTGAAAGAATCTCAAAAATCAGAAGCCTTTTCTACCTTGAAACTAGAAACAACTATAAAGGCATATATTGCAGCTGGAGTTCATCTGTTTCTCCTCTGTAGACCTCTTATCCCTCAGTGGGATAAGGATTTTTGCCATTTCTGTACTGTCAAATTTGCCCTGCGGGACAGGTACACAGAGTGTTTCCTATTTCCATTTTTAATGGCAGGTGGCAAAAGAGAAAAGAATTACAAGGCAGCAGCAGGAGTGTTTCTGAACTCTCCCACGTTGCTACAACTGGAGCAGCTGTCAGTTTGTGCTCAAAAGTCTGTGCATCTTGTTTGAGCAGAGGTTCTTCAGAACCTTGTATAGGTTAACAGTGTTCTCTATCGAAGATGAGCACAGACTTGGTGCTTAAAAGAAAGCAAGGGAGATGAATGCATGTCCTGATGGTTCCAGTCTCCAGCTGGTGCTGCTCAGTGAGGCATCTGATTGCGGCGATGATGGTAAAAAAGAAACAAAACCAAAGCGTGGAAAACGGAGGGATTGTGGATAGTACCTAAGTTGTACCTACAGTTAATCCTATGGGTGTTCCGCTTTGCAGTGCTCTGGTAAGAGGAGTTAGTTAGGGGGACGTTCTCACCTCTCTCCTGTATTGCTGCAAGGTGGCTAACGTAGCTGTGGAACATACAAAGGATGTGGTTTCACCTGGGGACCTGATACTGAAGGAGACTATCTTTTTTTACCTGTGCAGACCTGGCAAAACATGTCAGCCTTTAAAAGACTGGATATTGCAGAGTTGGTATGCTGGGGCCCAGTATTCTTTCTAAATTTTTTGATTGTTTAGGGAACTAATCCTCATTTGCATGCCTAAAAAGTTTGTTGGATGAAAGAGGGTGAGCAGCATTGTGATCCTGATTGAGAATGATATGTATAAAGTGAAATACATGCAACTGCTTTTCTGAGTTTCATCTGAAGCACAGTGCCCTAGAAGAATACTTAACTGATGTGAAACTCTCTTACCTGATATGTACACTTTTGAAAGGGAATCTTTGTGAGTGTTTAAAGTTGTCTGTGGATGCTGCTACAGTTTGAGGTGGGTTGTGTTAAATATTTACCTGATCGGAATAGTGTCCTGTCCTTGCAGTAGCTGGTCCCTAGTGTTGAGATTATTGGCTCACTGGAGAGTTGAGATTATAGGAGGACTGTTAATGCATTGTAATGAAGAAAATAATTTTTTAAAAAAATACCATGTCATCTGTTGTTCTGTCCACTAAAAACTTTTTCATTCACCAAATTTATTCCACTTGAAGATTGAGAAATCACAAAACATACGTTGTTAATGTACATGAAAATTAAGAGAATTGCACTTCAAACTTGTAATACTTGAGAAAATACCTGGCACTATTTGCTACTGAGTTGGGGAATTCAAGTGAAATGTTATAGAGATTTTAATACTTGTCTTTGGTTTGTTTTCTGTAGCTGGATATTTTTTCTGTGTATCACTGATACACACAAATCCAAAAAGCTGGCCAGCAAATCAGCACATGTTAAAGTCATTACGTTTTCCTCTGTGGTATCCTTTGATTGCTCCTATGTATGTTGCTGAACTCTTTCTCCATGTCAAGATACTGCCTAGCTAGCAAGCTAGGTAATGGAGTGACTTTTCTGACCCATGCTAGACCTGGAAACAGAATTACTTTACTAGTAAACTCTGTGTATAAATTGTGGAAGAGTAGGTTGTGGCCCCAACTGAGCACTTAGCAATTTCTTCTAGTGGATGATTTGGCTGTGTAAATGAATGCAATCAAGTCCATTTCAGCAAAAGTGTGCCTCTGAGCCAGCGTATTAACAAATGTTCTAATTTTTCCTGATATCTGACTTCATGTGACTGGGTAAGTTTCTAAAATTGAGGGCCTAAATTCTGTCTTCAGTTAGGATCAGAATCATGAATTAGTGTGGAATATAGATTCTGTTCTATTTCAACTGTAGCTTTGTGCAATATTCCAGATTTATACCCATTCACAGATACTTTATCAGAAGGGAAAAACATTATCTTTTTTTATAGTTTACCTTTGTGTATTTCTTTGTGCTGCAACTGTAGAAGTATCTTCCTTGCATCATTTTCTTTCTCACCATTTTTTTGTCTCTTTTTTTTCTTCTTTTCCTTTCTTCCCATGTTTTCAGTCAGTGGTGAACCTGATCAGTGAGCTACAGGAGCAGATGTGTAGACTGCAGCTGGAAATTAATAGTAGAATCCAAGAAAGAAAGTCTCAAGATAGGAAACCAGACTTGACACCTAATGGTCCTCAATCTAGTCCAAGATCAGTAGTAGAGACTCTCAGCCAGAGGAATTGTTCTCGGTGTGATGTACGAGAAGTGCACCTTAACAGAAGCCTGTGTATTGCCTCTTCTCTTGCAGAAACTAAAATCTGCTAACCACAGCTGTGTTGTGAATTATTGGCATTAATCTTTGTAGCTTTCATTAGCAAAGTGTGAGGTGGTCATAAAAATCACCCTGATTACTGGGACAAATTTGGTCACCATTGATGCATTTCTACTAAAGCACAAGTATCTGTAAGACCCAAACACCTCTTTCAGGGATTTTTTTTTTTTTTTTTATGATTTTCATTTTACTTGTAGGTCTGTCGTGCCAGTGTGGTGTGTGATTTTTTTAATTTTGGGCTTTGTGTGGTTTGGGGTTTTTTCCCCTTAGTTGAAATTGCAGCATGCTAGCGTGGTTTGGTAGTTTGCTAATTTTCCTCATGATAACGTCACCCTAGCTGTGCATGATGGTATACACTAACCAGTCCTCTGAACTCAGATTATTAATTCCTGAATATCTTAAAAGCTTAACACAGGTACAAAATACAGTTTCAGGTAAGATTATCTGAAATATAACCCTTCTTTTTCTAATGATAATGTTAAAAGTGAATGAAAAGAGATATAATAAAAATAATCTGTTTGTACCTTTAAAACAGCAAATCCAACACATTTTTGTTTATTCTCTGACATTACCAGTTTCTAGAAAAGCATTTTTGTATTTACTTTACAGATCCTAGCTGTATTTGGTCAAAACTATGTCACATGTCAAAACAAAAGCTACTTTGCATAAACTGCTTAATGTTACTGAAGGTGGAAATGATACTGGTATGCCTGAAAAAGTCCATTTTAATATTTGCTTTTGAATCAGTTTGCTTTAGTTGCCACATCTCTTTGGTTAAAATTTGGATCCCCAGAACTCATTTTATAAATAATCTGCTTAAATTGAGAGGGAGTTGTTCAGTAATTTTTCTCATAGGTTTATTTTACAAAAATAACTCATTTGGGTATGATGCCTATTTTGAAAATAGTGCTATCGTTTCTGAGCTTGCCTCTGTTCAGAAGTAATTAGTGAACTATTAGACTATAGTAAAAGCTGCATATTGGGGAAATAATCTGAAAGTCAAATCTGGGAGTCGTTCAAAATAAACATTAATTTAATCCAAGATATTAGTATGGTTGCTTAATGTTTGTACTATACAGGATTCCAAAATTGGGTTACACTTCCAAAATTTTCCATTCCTTTAAGACATTTGGTCACGTCAGAGTTCCATCAGGGATTTAATAGTGTTGTCCTTCAGAATGAAGGACAACCGTAAGTTACGGTTCTATCAAGGAAAGGAGGAAGGGACATTTAAAAGACAACTTTGCTGGAGGAATAGATGGAGAATGTCAGGAACCCTGGTCAGCTGCATCCGCTCGGTCTGCAAAGTGGTGAACATCAGTGCTGAACACCGCATCTTTGTAGCCGTGTTTGACTGTGGGTGTATGGTATTAAATGCCTGTAACTTGCTAGATACTGTTTGGTCTGAGTGTTATTTTTCTTGGTAAGTAGATCAAACACCTGTTTGGGGAGAGGATTGTCACTTTAATGAAGGTTAGTAATCTTTTAGTACTGCACCTTTCTGCTTATTTCCAGGTGGCTGAAAAACAAAACAACCCCAAAACAAAACAACAAAAAATCCCAACTCTCCCAAAAACCCACAATAGTTAATGAGAGTGCAGTTCCAGATTTTTTTTGCTCGTTTTCACTGAGACACATGCCTTCACCAGACTCAACTGCCTTCCATAATATGACTAAGAAATTTGGTCATAATTTCAGGTGGAGAGTTTGAGAAAGTATTCTTTATTTCTCAGTTCAAAATAGTTTTTGTCGTCTTAGACTAGGTCACAGTTTTTAATGTGGTGGTTCAGTATTCGTTACTGTGTGGCTCATGCATGATCTTTAATTCAGGACTATGGAAAATTAATATCTACCAGAGTCATCTTACTTTTAGCTGCTGTTCTTCCTTTGCAGGGTTTGCTACAGGAACTTAGACACCTCAAAATTAAAGTGGAAGAACTGGAAAATGAAAGAAATCAATATGAGTGGAAATTAAAAGCAACCAAAGTAAGTAGAATACTTGGCATTTGCTAATGAGAGACTTATTTCAGCTGGAAAGGGATACACTCCACTTATCATCAGTATTTACTTTTCTTACAACTGCCTTGTCAGGGCCTACTATAAAGTCAAATGTTCTTCAACCATCTTCGCAATAATTATTTTGGTTTAAAGTTTTTGTAGCTTCTTTTTGTGCCTTTTGCTCCCTCCCTGCAGTTTCCAGTCTTCTACCTTTTTGTAATTCTCATTTAAAAAAAAAAAAAAAAAGGCATCTTGACTTGAAAAAGACCTGTTCTGAAGAAAGGCGCTTTGAAGGTTTTCTGTCTTTTATTTGGGTAATGGTGACCCATCTTGTATTTGGGTAATGGTGACAAGCCTCTGTGGAATATGCTTTCCAGACTGAAGAGGAGAGACATGCAAAGTGGGTTGGGTGTTCACTTACTATGGAATTTGTTTTAATAGACATTAAGCCCAAAATACACCATTAGATCATCTGCTTTGACTTCATGTATATCAAAGTACATAACTGCCTTACCCTTCTGTTGACCTTAAATCCTGGAAAGCTGTTGGATCATAATCTGGAGAAACTTGACATTTGAAACATTTCATCAGTTTCCACAGTAATTAATTTTTCTAATTGAACATTCTCATTTTTAAACAGTTGCACTTTATTTCTAGTTTGAATTTTTAGCCCTTTTCCACTAGATTAAAAAGTACCTTATTATTTTTCCCTGTTGAGGTACACTTTTGTGCTGTAATTGCATCTCCTTTCATTTGTGTAGTACTACAATCCCTATTCATACCAATGACTGACTTTTTTGAGTTGTGGTTGGATCTTCGAAAAACATTTCAAATTATTAAACTGAGTTTTCTTTTTAATACTTGATAGCTTGATCCAGGAATGACAGATAGATATGATTTGCATTAGCATTTCTTTCTTTTGAGATTGCTTAGATGAATATTGAAATGTTGCTATCTTGTCTTTTTTTCATATTAAGATAATAGCTCTTGTACCCATGAAAATGTTTTCTCTGACATGGTGGAAATGAGGAGTCTTTGGGAAAATATTTTCTCAAGCAGTGTGTGGCCAGCGGCCAAGACAGATAAAGATTATGGAAAATGTAGGAGCAGAATAAGAATAAGAAAGAAGAGTCATAAAACCCATTGAGTGAGAGAAGATACAGGATTAAGAAAGGAAGAAAAGTACAGGGGAAGAGAGAGGAAGAAGAAAAATAATTGTAGAGATGACAGGAGCGAGACATTAAAGGAAAAGAAGGCATTTAAAAGAGCTGTGAGATCAAATAGTCCAGGGGAGTCAAATCCAAATCTGGTATTAAGAGGTCTGCAGCTTTTGTCTTCCTGTTGCTCCAGCTTCTTAGATGAGAAAGTGGAATATTTCCACGGCTTGCTATAAAAAGCATATTAGTCACTGGGAAGTGGTAGGAGCCCTTCAGAGATGCAACAGGGCAGATTCTTCTATTCCATATGGAATTGCAGGCAGAGTGTGATCTTTTGCTGCCATCCAGCTGCTTGCTTCCTGGGGAAGATAAGTTTGTGTATTAATTAGTCTGCATTTTTCCCCATTTGGATAATGTTGTTTGGTGTTTTGCATTTTTTTCCTGCTTTATTTTAGTATTTTGAGAAATTGGTCACATTAGTGAATTTTTTTTTCTTTGTTTCCTTTTTTCTTTTTTTTTTTTTTTTAAACTGCAGGGAGGTTTGGTATGCTTTCACTGGGGGAAATGCAGAATTTTGATATATAAAGGCTTTAAGGGTGCTGAAGAAAATATTAATGAAGCTACTGAGTTAGTAAAGTATGCTGTTGACAGTTTTTTCTCATACGTAGGAAAAAGAGATGAGAGTCACTGTTTTTCAAGCTGGACAATCACAGGATTCTTTTTCCTCTGTGTTGTTGAGGTCTTTAACATGCGATAGATATTCCATCCCAGTCTAGCAGCAGCACGAATTGCAGCACGTGTAAATGAACCACTGATATTGTTGTATATATGTGGCTGTTTTCCAAGCCATGCTTTGCTTCTACCCTATTTGCTGTAGTATTTGGTATGAGGAAGAACAGGTTTGTTATGCTGCTGAGGGCTCAGCATTAATGGATTCTCAGTTATATTAATAAATAGTAACTAGGATAAAAACCCAGCATGTTTTAAAAAAATGTTTTATTTTAGAGGTCTTCAAGCAAAACCTCAGGAGTTGCCCTATAATAGTCATTATGATATGACCAGTATTGTGGTGTTGAGAGCTTTCCAGAGTTCTTTACCTCCCTGAATCCTTGAAATTTTTACATTTCTGTAAATCTCTCTTATCCAAGAGATAATTGCATTGGAAAAAGTGAGCTTCTGTAAAAGGAATAGGAGAGTAACACCATGAAATATGTAAGGTTGATAGAGTGTTTATGAAATGTCCTGAATTGGAAACAGGACATCACTCAAAGTAAAGTGTTACGCTTAGAAGTCTTCCAGTTCATGGGAAAAAATCACAGAGAATTGGTGATGATGTTATTCTGAATTTGTTGTACTCTCTTTCAGGCTGAGATAGCCCAGCTTCAAGAGCAATTAGCTCTCAAAGATGCAGAAATAGAACGCTTACAAAGTCAGCTATCTAGGACCTCATCACATAGTGAAGTGGCAGAAAGAGGTAAGTGGAGGGGAATTAAAATTAAAAATAAAAAAATCTACTTTAACTTCAGTTATGTAGCAGCTTGGCTCAGTATTTCAAAGCTGTACGAGGAGATACAAGAACGGACTTACAGAATTTATTTTGGGAGGAAAAATGGTGCAAATTTATTTTGTCTTCTGGTAGAGTGAAATTCTGTCCCGATCTAGAGGAAGTGCGAATTGCAATAAGTATCCTAAGGGCACTGAAACTTTTTCTAGTGGAATTTAATTTATAATTTGAAAGAGTCATTGAAAAAAAAATATATTTTTTGTTTATACCTTCAAATTTTGTTTTAAAAATCTTTGCAGTTTCCACTTTTTAAGAAAAAAAAAAAGTCACAGTAGTAGCTAAGCATAATGTTTAAATGTCTAAGCATTCTGAAACATAGTCATTGATTCACACATTTCCTTTCTTTGGGAGTGTATCTCATTTAGGCTCCCTCTCCCATGAAAGGTTGGACCAGTTGGTCTTTCAAGGTCCCTTGCAGCCCGGGCTGTTTTATGACCGTATGATATTGCAGGTTTCTGTTTTAAATTTGCACTGTCAATACAGGTCAATGGCAAATAAAGCAGTTTCTTTAGCCTTTGGTCTCGACCAGTCATGTCACAGTTCTCTGAAGTACTGACTCCCTGGAGCTTCTGTCAGTTGCTGGGCTGTGAGCAGTATGATATTAGTGAGCTTTTTCTTCTATAATACTGACACCCATGCAGGAATATTTCTGTGTAGTTTACCACAGTGCATCAGCTTAGCTGCACTAACTTCTTTTGTGGGTGTTAACTAACGCTTCCAAAGAGTGCCCTTGTTGAGATGTGACTTCTCAGGTGCTGCACCACCTTTTCTCAGGGCTTACCGTGAATCTCCTTACGGGAATTAATGCAGATGTGTCTTTTCTAGAAGACTGTGTATTTTGACTGTTGTTTATTCCAAATAAATGACTTAACATATACTCGGTGCTGATTTCACTCAGCTGCAGAGCTTGTGCATGTAGAGAACTGCATGTCTAACTAGGAAATAAGTTTGTCTAACAGCAGTGTTTTGTAGAGGAACTCTTCTACTAATAGAATGTTGTATTTTCTGTGAGATTCCCAAATAATTCATGATATTTCAGGGGAAAGATAGGAGTATGACAATAAATCAAGAGCTCAGCAACTTTCAAATTCTAGTAGTCTGTCTGTTCCTGTTCATGCTGAAGATGGGTGAAACTGGCTTCAGTGGGAGAAGAATCAAACCCTGTACAGATTCTTTAGGCTACATTTAAGGAAACCACTTAGACTATATTTGAATGGAAACAGTATGCAGCAGTAATAATTCTTCTGCAAAAAAATTACTGATTTATCAGATTTTTAGGTGGTCTTCTCAAAGTTGGAAAATAATGTCAATGTACTTGTAGTATGCTAAATGCATATTCTAATTAAATTGCAAAATTTATCTAATATGTGCTTTTTCTACATACTTTATTTGACTCTCACCATTTACCATCGTAGAGGAAGTTTATAGGAGAAGGCTAAAAGAAAAACGTAAGCCTTGCAATTCACTTTTGGTTGTATCTCACTGTTCCTTTCACACAAATTATAACTCGGATGCATTCTGCAGCAATAATTCAATGTTTGTTTAAGATTTGGCTGTCTAATTGTAATATACATGAGACATTGCTTTCATTGCTTGCAGCAAGCAGACAGCTACTTGCCCTGTTTAGTAAGGTTTCACTTCCAAAAAAAAAAAATCAGAGGTTCACAAATCAGATAGTTGGACTTCAAAGGGATGTTGTCAAGGTTAACAGAGCCAAAACTTAACCTTTACCTCTTTTTATTTGTACATATGTAAGACCCATATAATATCTGGAAAGATGGCTTTAATTGAAAGCCTCCTTCCTTGGAGGGAAAGGATTTGGACTTTTTTTTAATTAGGGCAGTAAATTAAAAAAAAAACAACCATCTGAATAAAAATGTTTCCATACTTGATGTTGTTATAAATATTGTAAGTGAAGTTTGCTTTAGTGTGCTTAAAAATACCTTGACACCACTTCTTTTTGAAGTCTAATACTTATAAAGAGAAATCAGTGGGACATTGATTTTTTAATGGCTTTTTAAAAATCTTCCAAATGCTTGCCCACTGCCTGCTGGCTTTAGTTTTTGATTTGGCTGTGTCTGTGCATGTCTTGTGTTCTCTTTTGCAAGAGAAATGTTTGCAAAGTTTATTTAAATGTTTTAAATCTAAATCGTTACAAGGTGTGTATTTTTCAGAATCACCACGAGAAAAACTAATTACGGTTTTTGCCAATAGTCTACATTTGAAATTGTATGTTCAACATTTAGTTATAAAACAGGTTTTAAAGATGCTCTTTAGCAGTATTGATTTTCCTTTTTTTCACTCTCGCTTCGTGCCTAGCACATCTGGTTTTCATAGTGTTTTGTGACACAAGTGGGTCTGTTTTAATGTCAAAGCATGAATTCCTTGAGTGGCAGTCACAGCAGATAAACTACTTCAGGTTCTGTCTCCATCATCTAGACTTTATTAAGTACAGGTTGGTACTAGAGGACTTGCTAGGAATAGTGTGTAGAGAAGAAATGAAGGATTTGGTTCAGCAAAGTTAGAATGATGTGATTAACAACCTCACAAATTTTCAGAGAGTGTTTTAATTGTTTTTACTATAACATTCCTGAATAACCTCTATCTTATAACACTAAATTGCCTGAGAGGCAATTCTGTGTTAGCTCTTGAGGTAACAGTAATCAGTTATTCATACTGATTTTTTTTTTTTTAAATTTACAAATTTTCCTCATATTAAACTAGCTTTTGTTATTTTTCATTTTCAAGTTTCATGAATGCCCTTGAACTACTTCTCATAATCTGACAACTATTTTTCCTAGATGGAATATAATCAATTTTCAATCATATTTAAAATTATTTCCTTAAATGTGTAACAGAAAATGCGCTCTCATCTTTCGCAAAATAAGCTTTTTTCTTTTTTTTATTACTTCATGTTTAGAGTATGAAATAGTATTATGTAGCCTTTTAGAAGCAAAACCAGCGTGTTTGTGTTATGCGATGCTTTTAATAGTTCAGCTTTTGAAAAGGTCCAAATTAAATGTAGTTTAACAGTGCATTTGCCACGCCACTGTCCTGGTTTTGGTTACTAATAAGAACATAAGGAGAGTATCACAAAAGATGTATTGTTTACACTAAATATAGCAAGTGTATTTTGCTTGTAACATTTTTAAAACATTTCTAGATCAAGAAGTTCAACGGTTGAAGATAGGAATGGAATCATTATTGGCTGCAAATGAAGAAAAGGTAAGAAAATAATCCTCATTCTACATAATGAGAATGAAGTGATGGTTTTGAATCTCTGAAATGTTCTGAATAACATACTTTCTGTAAGTGTGGTATTGTCCTATTTTTGGATTATTCCATGAGATTGTGACAGAAGGTTGATATTTAAATAGAAAGTGCAGCTGGCCTTGCTAACCTGGCTGCAGAACTTGGGAGGCTCATTAGATTCCAGAGGGAAGTAGAAAGCCAAGGCTGTAATGAGCAGAATCTCCTGGTTTCTGCTATTGAAACAATCACTAAGATTTGGTTGGTTCTGGCAGCTCTTCATCTTCCAACCTAATCTGAAGTGCATTGATATCCTCAGCTTAGATTGTGATACTAAAAGAAAGTCAAAGTGGCCTTTGAATCAGATTCAAAATTTTGGCAGAAGGTGACCAGGAGTTAGAGGGAGAAGGCAAAGAAACAGAAAAAGGAGTACTAAAGGAGAGGAGGAGTGAAATTAAACCCATGTAAATGCTAAATGTAGTTTTTGTCTCATCACCTGTATGCTGTTTGCCTGTCAGTCAGACAATTCAAGGGCAGAGTTTAGGGCTCAGTCCTGGAGGATGTTGAATCTCCACCTTCAGATGCCATCGACTTACTACATAAATTGTTCCTTATTTTTTGGAGGGCGCTGGAGGGGGGAGTTGAGGGGGATTAACTCTTAATTCTTGAGGAAATTGTAATTCTTGTTTTAAGATAATAAACCAGGCCATAGGATTTTCCTTTAAGATGACACACTGGTATATGATCAAATAGACAATAATTTACATCCCTGAAAACTTCCTCTAGTAAGTGGGGAATCTGGACAGGGCAATGCTAGTTCTGGGGCACATTAATGTGACTCATAACAACATTTAGTTCTTAAAAAATCAAAAAGCCAAAATTTACATCTGGAAAATAAAAGACATGGCATTATCTCTTGCCAAAATTATTCCAAGTCTGCGCAAGATTTTTTGTTTGAAGGGAACACAAAATACTGTTGCTTATATCCTAATATCTGGGTATACTCACAGGGAAAGGAGGGTTATTTCCTTGGAAACTGTCGTGTTTAAACTAGTGGACTGACAGTTGACCCACAGCTTCTTAAATGTTTAATGTAGAACCGTTACCTTCAATAATATTGCAAAATAAAATATTCTTCCTGAGGGAATAATAGCTCTAAATAGCTTTTGGGATAACTCTAAACATTCCTTGTGTCATTTAGGACAGAAAATGCTCAACTAAGTTGCTAGCAAGTGATGCACATACTTCTTTTTTTTTTTTTTTTCTTTCTTTCTTACAGAACTAGGTATGTTAGTTCTTTGCTATGAAGAAGAACCTATTGCTTCCATCCATAGTTGGGATAATTGGATATCTGTTTTAGGCCTCTCTTGTCTTGTGTATATTTGCTGAGGCTTGAAGGGAGGATCAGCAGCATCTACCTGTCTGACCTGGCTGTGGCAGTGCAGCAGCTCAGTATCTGCTAATCACTTAAATACTTGCCAGCTTTCCTGGAAGGGTTTGTTTTGGGTTGGGTTTTTCCCCCACTTTTTAATTTTTCTACTTCTCTCTTTCTGTGGCTGTCCTGACACCTGCTTGTGAAAACTAGCTCCTTATTACTTGCTTGGGTTTGGATTCAGTCCTCTGTAGTCACCAGATTTATTGCCCAGGCATAGTTTAGAATTGGGGTCAAAGAAACAGGGCAAACTGTAAGAGTACAAATGGCAAGATTGCACACTTGGTGACTTATATTGTATATGGAAATGAGAGAAATGACAGATCCAATCAAATAATGATTACTACCCATTGCTATGTGCAAAAGGCAAGCACCCTCCCTGAATACATGAATCAAGATGCTTTCTGTACATAATAGGAAAGCATTAGGTACTGGAGAAAGAGTGGAGTTGGATAATGTATCAGCCATTCATGGGACCTCGTTTCTTTGGTTCTGCACGGGTTTGACTGCCTAGGTTCAAAAAGGTGTGTTCAAAACTGGAGTAAATGTAGATGTCAGAATGCAGAACGTATCCTACAAGAGAGGATTAAAGAACATGACTAGATTGTTAAACTATACAAAACATAAACATTATTTACTTTATGATTACAGGTACAATGCTAGCAAAAAAACCAAACACTGCCCACTTCAGGCAATTGAGGTTCATGTCCAGAATATTCCCTTGAGTCTTAGAAGTGAAAGCAGGTTTCCAAATTATGCTTCTGTAAATAACTAATTTACTAGTAATGTCAATCTTCTCTGGTTTCTTTATATCCATAATTTCACACTGTCCAGCAAACATTATGTACAATGGCAAATAAAAGCCAAGAAATGTTCTTTACAAGGCATGTGAGAGACCTGATCCTGCTTTCTGTAGAAGCAGGCCAAAATGACAGAAATGAATGTGTATTGTGCAGGTTAAAAATGTTGGATTTTAAATATGATTTTCTTTAATGCTTTTCACAGGACCGTCGAATAGAGGAGTTAACACTATTGCTAAGCCAGTACAGGAGGGTCAAAGAGATAATGATTGCAGCTCACGGTAAAGTGTCTTGGGAATAATTTCCTGATATCAGGTCTTTTAAAAACTGCATGCGCTACAACTGCTATTTGTTGTCCTTTTAAATATATGTGTATAGTAATATATATTTCATTATGCATATATTTGTATCATGTTGTGTTTGTATCATGGAGTGCTATGAGAGCAAGTATACACTCTTCCAGGTACAGAGAGAACCACACTATGACGTGAACAGGCTTGTGTGTTATTGCCTGTAGCTTGTGGAGATTTTTTTTGTTTCCTGTGCTGTAGTCAGCACAAAAAGATAGGGTCAAATCTGTCTGGAGATCTAGTTACAGCATTACTAGTCAGCAAGGTGTCTGTGACTGAATCTTATGCTCTAAGTCACGAACGAAAATTTGTTCTACATCAGGTAACAGTAAATCCTTCCTTGGAGCCTAATTTTGGTGCTATGTGTTGTTTTAAATGGTGTAATTAAGGATTCTGATAAGGAAGGATGACTGATGAGATTACTGCTCTGCTTGTACAGCTGTGTGAAGTCCTTATCAGTTGGGTCCGAAGCACTGCAGTTTACTGCCTTACGTTCTAAGGCGCTTTGCTGTATACTGCCATGGGGCAGAACTCCTACGTCCGTGTAGCAATGGCTGGGTGGGCAGGCAGGGCTATGGTTTTATTAGCTACTTCGTGCAGTCCTGGCCCTCCTCGCTGATGGGACTCCTCTAAGTCTCTTCCACAATGCAGGCCTATGACATACGTCCTTCCTGGCCAAAGCTCCCTACTTCCTTTTTCACTGCTGCTGGTTGCCATCCCCGCGGTTGTACGTAGAGGCCAGACCAAAAAGAATTATAGCAAAAGGGTGAAAAGGAGGGAGGAAACAGCGGAACACTCATACAGACATAGAATTTGTCGACATAGGGGCAACTAGGAGAGTTCATTCATATTAGCTAAAGGCATAAATTTACAGTGTTCTTATTAAATTGCATTATAGCCCTCTCAAGAATCTATTATTCAAAATTAAAATCACATTCAGGTTGATTTTAAATCAGTTGATCTGTAGGAGATGAATAAAGTATACAGATAGGTATTAAGTTTGTATGGTGTTTCCTGTGTCCATTATGTTATGAGTAACTGGTTTTTACAGTGTAAAATGATATCAAGAGACCTTGGTGAATGAGGAATACTAATTAATTAAATCCTACATTCAGATTTCCTGCACCAGAGTTCAATTCAGGAATGGCAGTATGATCAGCTGCCAGCCAGCCATCTAGCATCAATGATACAGTGGTTTCCTTTTATGTCATGTTTTTAATACAGCATTCATAAAAGGGAAGCTGATCTCAGGTGCAATTTGCTACTGGTAGGACGACTTTTTTTTCCTTTTTTGCTAAAAGGAGTTGCAATGAATATACTAAGTTCTGTTGCCCTTCCACTAAGAAAAAATCCTGACAGCCCACTAGACAGGTTCTTTGGAGGGAACAACTGAAAACCCACGGTTGCTTTGGTGCATACAGTATTATGTATTTTACTCCAAAATATGGGGAAAAATCTTTGTCCCATTTATCAGCTATGCTGCAGGAAGTGGACTGGGGTTTAGAAGAATCTTACTTTAAGTTTCCACCTTAGTTTTAAGTGCTAAATTTAGTCTGGGAAACTTGGCCTTCTGAAAGGACAGTTTTGTTCAATGTACATCATCACATTAACAATATTTTCAGGTCTTGTATGGCAGAGTGGAAACTTGTATTTAACACACAAGAATAGGGAACAAGAGTTTGCTGAGCACTAAATATTCAGAACCCTGATTTAGTATTGCAGCTTTGACAATTTAGGAATAAAAATCCTACTAAATAATGAATGTGGAGTATTTCAGTATTTGTTTAGATCTGGGATATCCAGAAAAACCTGGAGCCTGTTTACCATGTTCATCCTTGAACTGAGCATGGGACACTGCATTGTGATACAGGTGATGTCAAATATGCGTGCTACCTATAAAGCGATACACTGTAAGAAAATGGTACAATTTGAACTTGCCCTATACCATCAAACTGAATTAGAGTGGTTGAGAAGCTGCCTCATAAGCAACTCAGGTACTCGCAACCAAGCACAGCACCTAACTACAAGCGGTAAATTTGTTGCTCTAATATAAACCAGCTTGTAAATCAGAGCCCAAAGGAGGGGTGGGGAGTGGAGAGGCTGGTAAACTACACATATCAGGTGAAGACTGAAGGGGATCTTAGAGACTGATGTATTAGACTCTATGATATGGTCCTAAATGTTTTTGGGGTTTTTTTGGCCTGTTTCTCTCCTTTTTTACTTCTAATTTTACTGCTTGCAGGCTCTTCTCTCTCTAGCGGCAGTGAAGAGGAACTTGAAACAACTTTAAGAAAGTGGAACCTTTTGAATAACCCTCAAGGAGAATTATTTAAAACAGAGGTACTTAGTAAAGATGTTTTAGAAGCAAGTTCTGCTGTATATATGATTTGTGTGCATTGGTTTCTCTGTAGTAGTTAAGGTAATGTAGGTGAGAGTTTGGCCCTGCCTGAATTTTTGTGCCCCTTGGTATGGGCACTATAGATTCAGAATCAGGCACTAGTTACAGGCTTGAAACTCTTATTTTACACAGGCCTCTTCAGGAGAATTGTCACCAGCTCTGCTGTCTCCGGTGCCACACAAAACTATGGAAATCAGGCAAGGCCTTTGTTTCTTGATATTTTTTTTGTGTGGATTGTCCTAAATCTGTAGTATTTAATCTGTTTAACTGTTGGCATCTTGTCTTGCCTGTTCCTGGCTTTGTAAGAACTTTTGGGTAGTTGTGAAAGCAGCATTTGCCATGGAAGTTTGCAATACGTAGTTGTATAAGGTTTGAATTGCAGGAATAAATTAGTGCTTTTACATATCAGAAGATATATGTATTGTAGTACTTAAATCAGTATATTTTATTCTGATTTGAAGTGGAAACATTCCAGTGTCTTCAACTAATTTAACCTCTCCACAAGAAGAATCTTTGGAAATCATAAATAGGTAAGAATGAGTAACTTTAATTGAAATGTAAAATGTACAGCCAGAATTATTTTTATAATTCTGCCTTTTTCCATTTTAATTTTTTTAAAAGCCCTTAATGTTGCATGCTGTTCACAGAGAGTTATTACTGTCTACTTTTGCTTGTTAAGAGCTTCTAAACAGTCATCTATAGATATAAGGTCTACAACCACACATTGTGCCTTGTTGCCTTTCATTGTTGATCAAAGGATGTCTTGTTGCTGTTTCTGACTTCATCTATTGTAGACCCCAATACTATGAGTTTTATGCTAAAAATGTAACAAAAGACACGAATGTCCCAATTCTGAATTATCTGTTATATGCAGATGTTATGTGATACAGACAGCTGTCATATGATACAGTTGTGGCATATGCAAACATACCATGTTGTAGTAACTGTTACTTTTTAAACTGTCATTATTTTAAGGGTTCCACAGAAAAAAAAGTCAAGTAGTTTAGAAGACTTGCAGAGTGAATCTCTGGAAAAGGTTGGTTTATTTGTAATCACAATTTCTGGTGTTTAACATCTTGACTAAAAGATCAAGGTCAAGTATAAATACTCTTTTAGTTTCGCATATAGTAACCTTCACTATCATAGTACGTGGGTAAAAAAGCCCTAATGATAAAACAGTTCAGGTTCTTTTTTTTACCCCCTTGCCAAGCTTAGAATAAACAAACTGACACACCCATAGGTACACAGCTTTAAATTCAGCTTTTCAGCTGAAAGAAAAGAAAAATATTGAAGAGAAATACAACAAATCATGTTAATGAGAAGTCATTTTGTTGAACTGCAGTATTATTTTATTTATAGGTAAGTGTTTTTAAAATAATTTTGACTTCCAAATCACTAAAAATGTTAAGGCAACAAATCCTGAAAGTAATTAAATATTGGGACTGGGTATTTCCACATAGAATTCCTTTTTGCGTGTTTCCATGTAAATATAACTTAGATTTCTGATACAAATGGCATAAAAAAAGCATTCCTGAGGATGGTAGTGATGCTGCCTTAGTTAGAATAGCAGGAGCACTGTTATTAATTCAAAGGCCTAATTCCATTCCAGAATAAAGACTTTCCAGTTTACAAAGTCTCATTACATTATGGTCCAGGGGCTTGTTTTGTCTTTATGTACTGTTATTGACGCTCTGTATACTCAAATTGGGCTTAATACCAGATTACCCACAGCCAGTATTGCCATTTAAAATGGGCACTAGTAATATGATTGTTTCAGTTCTTCAAATTTCCTTAAATTTTTCTTAAATCTCTGAAGATGAAAGTGACCAAATAGAACGTTTGAAACTTGTGTTGCACTCATTTGATTGTGGTCATACAAATCAATTCAGAACTAACATTTCATTTCTTGTGGAATTTATGAAGGTCTGTTTTCTTCTCATAACTTTTATTTTCCTGTCTTAAATTCAAAAACTTAATTAGCCTCTGCAATATGATATAATAAGGCTGTAGCTACACATTTAGGCTGTAAATCTACTTTATGTGTTAAATCAGAGTCCATTGAGGAACAAGAACCTACCAGGGATAGGAGAGAACTGTAGCAAGCCAGCCCCAGGTT